CGAGGGTTGCGGGAGGCCGTGCCGGGAGCTCCCCCCGCAGCCGGGGCTCAGGGCACGGCCGCCGGCGGGGCTCACCAGAGAAGGCGTTGTTGGTGTTGAGGAAGTAGACCTCCTCGCGGCCGTCCCCGTCGATGTCGCAGGCCGTCACACCGATGGCGTTGCCCTGCCGGTCCCGCAGTGCATAGTACGGGGAACCCCGGTCGTCCTCCGCCACGTTCACCAGCCGCCCCCGTGCCTTGTCGTACTTGAGCACCAGGTTGGGGCCATTGTACCTGTGGGTGCGAGCAGGGGTGATGGCTCCTTGAGGCTTGGGGACAGGATGAAAGCCCCCATCCCATCCCTGGGGGGATACTGGGTGCAGACACCTGCATGGTCCATGGAGACCAAGGCCCTTGGGCTGCTCTCAGCACCCATATGTGGGGCTTGCTCTTGGCTGCCAACCGGGAGGGCTCAGCCTGGAGCTGCTCCAGCCCATGTCAGGCATCCTGTGTCTACCTGGCCCGGGTACCCGCCAGGGCAGGGGGAGGGTGGCCAGTAGGGCAGGATGGGGCACAGGTCCATGCTTGCAGCCCTTTCCCAGGGCAGGAAAACTGGCACACAAGGCAAATCCTCTCGGCGGACTGCGCCCCACAGGCTCCCTGACCTGGGCACCAGTAAACAAGTTACACAACGGGCGCTGGGGCCGCTTACAAAACCACAGCTGGCTGCTTGGCTCAGCCCCGCTGGGAGCGGTGTCCTGGGCCCCTCTGGGGGTCCCCAGTGCTGCTCGTGGTTTTCTGCCCCAGGGTGATGCTCAGAGGGGTAGCAGGGTTGCACTCTGCCTGGTGCCGTGGTGCCCTGGCTCCTGCAGCCCCCCAAAAATGGGCTCTGTGGGGGTGAGGCATCCCCTCCAAGTGAGCACACCCACATGTGCAAGCCTCCCTCGGGGGTGAGCATAGTGGTGCCTGCATGGACACGCTGTGCCAGCAGCTCACAGCCGTGCCAGCACACGCACGCAGGGCCCGTGCTGCGGTCCCTGCTGTCCCCAGCTGAGGCTGGACCTGCTGGCAGCAGCTGCTCCATGTCCAGCCCCGCTTGGGTGCTCGCAGCGTGGCACACGGCTCCCTGCCTCCCCGGCTCCTGCCAGCCCTTCCGAGCCATCACTCCAATAAAGGGCTATAAAAAAACCTCCAGCCAATTAACCGAATATCCAGAGAGCGCCGAGTCCTGTCAGCGGAGCTGGGCTGGCTTGGGGACACGCTGGCTTTGCACTGCCGGGTGGACCCCAGCCACCGGACAGCTGCCACCGCCCCGCAGAGAGGAGACCTGGCCCTGGGGCCGGGATGGGGGCACCCACATGTGCTTGGGTGCATGCAGACCCCCACTCCATCACCCTTGTGCACGCACTCCCAGCCAGCCACATACCCTCGGAGCAGCAAGGAGCTCCCAGCACCGCAGGGCCACCAGGTCCCGCTGTCACCGAGGCACTGGGTGCACCACTCACCCCGCCACCACGATCTCGAAGTCACCGTCGGCATCCAGGTCCGTGACAGCCACACCGTAGTTGAGCTGCGTGGGGTTGCTGTCGTAGTCAGGCGGGAGGAGGCGGTGGGTGACGGCTGCAAACATGGGCTCACCGCGCTGGGAGCCCTCGCTCAGCCAGGCCAGGGACAGCAGGCACAGCGCCAGCATCCTGGGCACCTGGGAGAAACCTGCAGCCCGTCAGTTCCAGGAGGAGACCCTGCTCCATGGTGCCCAAGCATCCCCATCACCCTTGCACAAGAGACGCTCTCTTGACATCCCTTGTCACCCATCCCAGCCTGTGCCACCCCACTGGCCCCTCAGGCACTGCACAGCTCTGGCATCCCCTTGCATGGACCCTGCGGGCTGCAGCTCGCCCTCAGGGCTCCTGTGGGACAGGATGGTACCCCAGCAAGCTGGGAGCTGAGGCTGAGCAGGATCAGGACCATGGGAGGGACCAGGGAGGTGGCAGGAGGGCTGCGGAGTGCTGACAAAGCTGGGCTCAGCCCCAGCTCGCCCTGCCCCAAGGGGATGCTGGCACCCAAGATCCTGGCAAGTCACGGTCCAGCCACTGCTTCCTTGGCAAGGGCAGAGGAAGCAGGCAGCTGCCAAGCTGGGGAGCTCTTCCCTTGTCCAGTTGGTCTTCCAGAGCGGCAGAAGACCATGAGGACAACATGGTAACACTCTGCCAGATGATTCCCGTGTGCCTCAGTTTCCCCACCCTGCTGGCACTGTTTCTCCCAGGTGAGCTACAGACTCTGCAGGGCAAGCTCCTCCCAGGGTGGCCATGGGAAGGTGTCTGCACAGAGACTTGGCCATGGGAAGGAGACACTGAGATGAATGGGAGACTTGAAGTAGAGGCTCAGTTAACCTGGACTGCAGAGGATGGTGTCTGCCAGCACTGCTGGCAAGGCTGCAGAGACTTTGGAGCTGGCTCTGACCTGGCTGTAGCATGGGTGACCAGCAAGGTAGCACTCAGAAGGCTGCCCCTTGCCCCAGGCCAGGCAGTTCTCTCCAGAAGGTAAAAGCCCAGCAACGAGCTGTGTGTCCTGGACTGTGGGCAAGAACCCACATGCCAGCGCTCCAGCTGGGAGCATAAGCAGCCTGTCCTGCTCTCACAGACTGGAGGGCTGGCACAGCCACATGGAACAGTGTCCTCCACCTTGGTGGCTGGATGTCCCCAAGCATAGGTTTCCTGGGGAGCTAGGAATAGCCCCCATCGCTGTCAGGGTGATAGGGGTGAATAGCCCTTCTGCCACCCCATCCCCATGCCATAGACCCTGCCAGTGAGCAAACAAAGCTATAGCAGCTGCACAGTGCCACATGTGCCCAGCTTGGAGAGGGGAAGGTGCCCAAAGGCTTAGATCCTGGCAGGCCCACCAAGCTGTGGGAGTAGCCTGCTGCTTCCCCTGGGGATGGGAATGGTTCCAAGGGTCTTTGGGGGGGGCCACGATTCTGCTGCCACAAGCAAATAGTTTTCTTGCCCACCTGGCTGTGGTGGGCTGTCCTCCAGCTGCAGCAGAGACCTTGAGCCCCACTGCCCAGCATCCCACTGCACGAGCCCCACTCCCCTTCCCTCTCCAATCCCATCCATTCCCCAGGCCCAGTTGCAAGGGTGGATGTGTGTGTGTGTGTCCCCAGCTCTGTGCTGCTCCTGTCCCCTCCCTGGCCTGTCCCACATCCTCCCAGAGACCAGGTGCAGCCAGCCTCTCCCTGGCACCATGCTCTCCACCACCCAGCCAGACTCGGGGCACTGTGCTCATCACCCTGTTGTCCTGTCTGGAGTGGCTCTCCATGGGCCAGAACCTAGGTCTGTCCCTGGTGCAGGTGTCCCATTCAAGTGACGTGATGGGGATGGGGCTTCACTGGGTTGCACAGGAATGGGACAGTCCCTGGGTGTCACTCTGCAGTGTCACACAGTGAGGGATGGGGAGCTTCTGCCACAGCCCCACCCTGGGCTTACCAAAGTAACCGTAGGGAACAGCCACCCACATGTGGACATATGGGGGCAGGGCTGCCACGTGAGCCCCTGTTGACGTGGAGCGGTGCCTCCTCATCCCTGGTCACAGCCAGGCAATGGGTGGCTGTCCCCGGGCCAGCAGCAAGGCGCTCCCTGCTCTGCTTCCCCGCCAGCTCCTGCTCTCCAAGCTTGGACCCTTCCCCAGGTGCCCCCCCCACCCTCTTCCAGCTGCAGCCAAAATCCCTCCAGGCTGGATGGAGCCTTTCCAGGAGGAAACAATGTTCCTGATTGGAGACAAAAGGCTTTTCCCAGCAGATCCGGTGCTTGGTGCCATGGGGAAGGGATGCACGGCCCAGAGCCAGGCCATTTTGGGAAGGGAGAGGAAGAGAGGCTCAGGGTCTGTGCAGTGGATGGGCAAGGCCTCACGCTTCCCAGCATGAAGCTCTACTTGAGGTTTAAGGCTATGGGGTCCTGCTCATACACTGGGCAGAGCTCAGCCTGTCTTGTCCCAGCAGAGCCACGTTCTGGTTTGCGTTGTGGCATCTGGTGGCAAGGTCACCCCAGGAGCTGCGGTCACCCCAGAGTGCCTCATCATCACGGCTAAGCCTGGTGACACAAAGCCAGGGTGCCAGGCCAAGCTAGAGGCAGCAAGAGGATGGGAGCAAGGCAGGGGGTCCACAGGCACCCACCCAGGATGCAGCCAGGCAGCGCAGGGACAGGGTGCTGGCCTCATGGCAGGGATGAAGCATGTAGGGTGCGTCTGTCCCCAGGCATGGCTGCAGCTGGCAACGTCCTGCGGGGAGGGTGGGATGGGACTGGGAAGGGACCAGTGGGGCAGGCAAAGGGTTGTGCTCCAGGGCCCTCACCACAGATGGGGAGACAATGTCCCTTGGGCTTCTTGTGTACCCAACATGCACCTCCCCAGGCCCTGGCCCATATCATGGGGAGGGTGGGAGCCTACTGTCTGCGCAGCCACCCCATCCCGCAGGCCACCGTGACATCGCCGCCCACCACACTACGCACCCCAGTGATGTCATGTTCCACCACTGCAGTGACATCCCATCCCGGGCCGCAGCCACCTCCAGCACCGCTGCGACATTGCATGACATCGTGCGGCAGGGGCCTCATCACACCCCAAAGGCACCCCAGAGCAGTGACAAAACGGTGACATCACAGCACCCCACGACATCGTGCTGCATATGGCCCTGTAACATCATATTCCCATTTCTGCCATTCCCAGGCTGCCACAGCTGTACCCGCTCGGGCAGAAGACAGGCAGGAGACGTCCCGCAGAACCAGTGGTCCATCCCCTGCAGCAGCCGAGCTGCCCAGGGATGCCAGCAGTGCCCCTTCCACGGCACCTCAGCCCCTGCAGTGCCGTTGCTCTGGCCAGAGCCCGTGAGCCCCGATCGCGCTACCCCGGCTGCTCGCTGCTGCTGCGGGCTCAGCGCTGCTCCCTCTCACACCCCTCTCAGACCCTGGCCTGTGCACGCACCCCACCACCGATGCTTCTGCTGGGCCCAAAGCCCCCAGCTGCCGGCTGTCCCATCGCCGTCCCCTCGCGCGCAGGACTCAGGGCAGGACCTGGCACGCTGGGGCTCAGCCAGCAGCAGCTGATGCGGTGTGGAGACGAGCAGCCACCTCAGCCTCCGAGCTCAGCCCAGAGGGACACCAGGTCCTTGGAGGGCTCAGCTGCTCTCAGACCCACCAGGGCACAGCCAGCCCCCTCCCATGCAGACCGATGTACGGACGGACCCCTCTCCCTGCAGCCCCCAGCCCCTCCACGGGCTCAGCCA